CCCCCACTGGATATTATGAACCATGTCACAGGGGGGTAAACACCCCCATGATATGGGGAGTAATATCACACCCCTCTCCCCCCCTGGATATTATGAACCATGTCATGGGGGGTGGACACCCTTTGCCATATGGGGAGTAATATTACCCCCCTCTCCCCTAACTGGATATTATGAACCATGTCACAGTGGGGGGAAAATCCCCCATGATATGGGGAGTAATGTCACCCCACTCTCACCCCCTGGATGTTATGAACCATGTCACAGGGGGGTGAACATCCCCCACAATAGGGGGAGTAATATCACCCCACTGTCCCACCCCCTGGATATTACAAGCCGTGTCACAGGGGAGAAACAGCCCCCATGATAGGGGGAGTAATTTCACCCCCCCCAAATGTTAGGAACCGTGTCACAGGGGGGTGGACACCCCCCATGATGTGATGTAGGGAGTAATATTACCCCCCTCTCCCACTCCCAATATTACCAACCATATCATGAAGGGTGGACACCCCCCACAATATGGGGAGCAATATCACCCCACTTTTCCCTGCTGGATATTACAAACCATATAACAGGGGGATGCAGACACAAGGCATTAACGATATTTTGAGTAATATTATCTTTCCCTTTGAACATTATGAACAATATGACAGAGGGGTGTACACCTCCTGCGATATTGGCAGTAATGTCATCCTCTCCCCCACTGGGTATTAGGAACCATATTACAGGGGGATGTATTCCCCCTTCAGGATTGGAAGGAAGATCATACTTGCCCTCCCTAGATATTTGAAACAATATCATAGGGGGTTGTACACTTTTACAATATTGGGAGTAATATCATCCTTTCTCCCCCTGGAAATTAGGAACAATATCACAGGGGTGGTGTACATCCCCTGAGATATTTAGGAAAATATTATCGTCTCCTCCCCTCAATATTAGGAACAATATTACAAGGGCAGTGTAAAGTACCTGCCAAATTGGGAAAAATACTATCCTCTCTCTCTCGTATATTAGAAACAATAACACAGGGGGAATGTACACCCACTGCCATATTGGGAATAATATTATACTTGCCCCACTCCCCGGAAGTTAGGAACAATATCACAGCTGCCGGGGGATACTTTTACGATATTGGGAGTAATATCATACTCTCTCCCCCTGGAAATTAGGAATAATATCACAGAGGTGGTGTAGACCCTCTGCAATATTTAGGATAATATTATCTCCCCCTTCGATATTAGGAACAATATTACAAGGGGGGTGTAAATTACCTGCCAAATTGGAGGTTATACTCTCCTCTCCCTCCCTGTATTTTAGAAAATATAACACAGGGGAAATGTACACCAGTGCAGTATTGGGAGTAATATCTTCCTCTCCCCACCTGGATATTAGGAACAATAACATGGGCGGGGCGTACACCCCTCTCGATATTGAATGTAATGTCATCCTCTCCCTCCCTTTTTATTACGAACAATATCCCAGGGGGGTGTACAACCCCTGCAATATTGAAAGTAGTATCATCCATTTCCCCAAGGATATTAGGAACAACATCACAGGGGTAGAGTACACCTGCTGCGATTTCGGGAGTAACATCATCCTCTCATTGCCTGGATATTATAAACAACATCACAGGGGGGTGCATACACCCTCCGATATTGGGAGTAATATAATCCTCTCCCTCCCTATATATTAGGAGCAATATCACAGGGGGTGGTGTAAACTTCTTGCGATACGGGAAGTAATATCACTCCCCTCTCTCGCCCTGGATATTACAAATGGTATCACAGAGAGGTGGACACCCTTTGCAATATGGGGAGTAATATCACCCCCCTCTCCCGCCCTGGATATTATGACATATCATAGGGGGGTGGACACCCCCTGAGATGCGGGGAATAATATCACCCCCTTCTCCCTTACAGGATATTAAGAACCATATCACAGGGGGTGGACACCTCCCACGATATTGGGAATAATATCATCCTCTCCCCCCTGGATATTACGAACAATATTACAGGGGTTGTACACCTCCTGTGATATTGGAAGTAATATCATCCTCCTCCCCATGGATATTAAGAACAATATCATAGGGGGGATGTACATGCCCTGTGATATTGGTAGTAGTAATATCCTCTCTACCACTGGATATTAGGAACCATATAAGGGGGGGTGTGTACAATCCCTGTGTCATTGAAAGTAATATTCTCCTCTCCCCCTTTGGATATTAGGAACTATATCATAGGTAGGGTATACACCACCCGCGATATTTGGAGTAATATCATCCTCTCACCCCATGGATATGAGAAACAATATCACAGGGGAGGTGTACACCCCATGCGATATTGTGTGTAATATCATTCTTCCCCACTCCCTGCAATATTGGGGTGTAATATCATTCTCTCTCTTCCTGGACATTATGAACAATATCACTACTAAGTGATATATTAGGAATAATACATCCATATGATATTATGATGAATATCACAGGGTGTACACCCACTGTGATATTAGAAGTAACATCTCCCTAAAATATTAGGAAGAATATCGTACACCCATTGTGACTTTACAAGTAATATCTCCCAAAAATGTTACAACTAATATTGCAGGGTGTACACTCTCAGTAATATTAGGAGTACTATCTCCCTAGAATATTACAAATACACATGGTGTACACCCACTGTGATATCAGGAAGACTATCACCAGGTGTACACCCACTGTGACTTTAGAAGAAATATCTCCATAAAATAATACAAAAATATCACAGTGTATACAGTAATATCTCAGAATATTACAAATAATATCACAGGGTGTACACCCACTCTGATATTAGAAGTAATATCTCCCTAGGATATTATGAATAATATCACAAGGTGTACACCCACTGTGATAATAGGAATAATACCTCCCTAGGATATTACAAATAATGTCACAGGCTATACACCCACTATGACATTAGGAGTAATATCTCCCTAGGATATTATGAATAACATCACAGATTTTACATCCATGGTGTGCACCCACTGTGATATTAGGAGTAATATCTGCACAGGATATAACAAATAATAGTACAGGGCATACACACAAGGTGTACACCCACTGTAATATTAGGAAAAATATCTCCCTAGGATATTATGAATAACATCACAGAGTGTACACACATGGTATACACCCTCTGTGGCATTAGGAACAATAACTTTCTAAGACATTACGCATAACATCACAGAATGTACACTCATGGTTTACACCCACCGTGACATTAGACGTAATATCTCCCTTGGATATTATGAATAACACCAAACGGTATACACACATGGTGTACACTACTGTGATATTAGGAGTAATTTCTCCCTAGAATATTACGAATAACATCACAAGGTGTTCATTCATGGTGCACATCCACTGTGATATTAGGAGTAATATCTCCCTAGGATATTACAAATAATATCACAGAGTGTACACTCACTATGATATTAGAAGTAATATCTTCCTAGGATATTACTTTTCATATAAAAGGGTGTACATCCACTGTGATATTGGGAGCAATATTTCTCTAGGATATTACAAATAATATCATGGAGTATACGCCCACTGTGATATTAGGAGTAATAATTCCCTAGGTTATTATGAATAATATCACAGGATGTACACCCACTGTGATATTAGGAGCAATATCTTCCTAGGATATTACAAATAATTTCAAAGGATGTGCACACATGGTATATATCCACTGTGATATTAGGAGTAATATCTACCTAGGGTATTACAAATAATATCACAGGGTGTACACCCACTGTGATATTAACAGTAATTTGTTTAGGTTATTATGAATGATATCACAGAGTGTACAAACATGGTGTACACTCACTGTAATATCAGGAGTAATATCTCTGTAAAATATTAGGAATAATATCACAGGGTGTACACCCACTGTGATATTAGGAGTAATATCTTTGTAGGATATTACAAATAATATCACAGGGTGTATGCCCACTATGACATTAGAAGCAATATTTCCCTAGGATATCAAAAATAATATCACAGGGTGTACAACCTCTGCATCACGGGTTCTAAGGGATTCTCTGCTTCCGCCTCCCAAGTGACTGGGATTACAGGTGCCCACCACCACGCCTGGCTAATTTTGTATTTTCAGTAGAGATGGGATATCACAGTGCTGGTCAGGCTGGTCTGAAACTGTTGACCTCAGGTGATCCACCAGCCTCGGCCTTACAAAGTGCTGGGATTACAGGTGTGAGCAAATATGCTCGGCAAAGAGTTATATATTAAATAAATTTGGAAACATGGTTGCCATATTTGAGTATGCATTTACTTTTATGAAGAAATTATGTCAGAAAACCTAAGGATGATAATAAATATGAAAAGTAACTGGCATGTAAAAAGGTCTTTTGATTAAGAACTATAAGGTTCGATTTCATTTTTAGATAATGTGATCCTAGCTCTTGTATAGTGCTTATAAATATTCTACATCAAAGGAATTCTACATCAAAGGAATTTGTAGCAGTGTCAGAATAAAATCAAGTGTATTTCACTGCTTCTTAATTTTTAAATTAGACTGAGTTTGTTTTCTTAGAGAGAGAAGAACATTTTTTTTTTTTTTTTTCTGAGAAGAGTAGGCCATATTTTACTGAGATCTTGGATTTGTTACATATTATGTTTTGGTCTTCTAACATTCTCCAGTGGATTTTCTCTAAAGTACGTATGCACAGAAAGACTTGAATAGCAAAAAAGTAAATCATGTAATTCTGAGACTTTTGGGTTTGTCACAACTGAGAAATATTGCTGAGGGTGTATGATCCTCAAGTGTGAAAATGTTCCTCGTGAATTGCTTGTATCCAAAATATACACACGGCATTAAGTGCTGGTTTTTATCTTTTGTTTTTCCAATCCTTTTTTCTTCTCAAGGTGTCCAAGTCACACAGAACCACAGAATCTCACAGGTGCCTCAGAATTCCTTCTCCTGGGACTCTCAGAGGATCCAGAACTGCATCCAGTCCTCGCTGGGCTGTTCCTGTCCATGTGCCTGGTCGCGGTGCTGGGGAACCTGTTCATCATCCTGGCCGTCAGCCCTGACTCCCACCTCCACACCCCCATGTACTTCTTCCTCTCCAACCTGTCCTTGCCTGACATCAGTTTCACCTTGGCCATGGTCCCCAAGATGATTGTGGACATGCAATCGCATAGCAGAGTCATCTCCCACGCGGACTGCCTGGCACAGATGTCTTTCTTTGTCCTTTTTGCATGTATAGATGACATGCTCCTGACTGTGATGGCCTATAACTGATTTGTGGCCATCTGTCACCCCCTGCACTACCCAGTCATCATGAATCCTCACTTCTGTGTCTTCTTAGTTTTGGTGTCTTTTTCGTCAGCGTGTTGGATTCCCAGCTGCACAGTTGGATTGTTACGATTCACCTGCTTCAAGAATGTGGAAATCTCTGATTTTTTCTGTGACCGATCTCAACTTCTCAACCTTGCCTGTTCTGACTGTGTCATCAATAACATATTCATACATTTAGATAGTACTATATTTGGTTTTCTTCTCATTTCAGGGACCCTTTTGTCTTACTATAAAATTGTCCCCTCCACTCTAAGAATTCCATCGTCAGACGGGAAGTATAAAGCCTTCTCCACCTGTGGCTCTCACCTGGCAATTGTTTGCTTATTTTATGGAACAGGCACTGGCGTGTACCTGGCTTCAGCTCTGTCACTATCCCCCAGGAATGGTGTGGTAGCATCAGTGTTGTACACTGTGGTCACCCCCATGCTGAACCCCTTCATCTGCAGACTGAGAAACAGGGGCATTCAAAGTGCCCTGTGGAGGCTGCGGAGCAGAACAGTCTAATCTCATGATCTGTTCTGTCCTTTTTCTTGTGTGGGTTAGAAAGGGCAACCACATTAAGTCTCTACATCTGCAAATCCTGCCCCCTTCCTCACATTATTTTTGTTGCTTGATGGCTTTTATTCCTTTCCACATTTCCTATGTGAATATTGCTTTCTTTGTTATGCCTTTAACTGGAATAGGTGAGTATTCTGGGATCCTTTGTTTAGCATAAACCTCATGACTGAATCCTCTATACCTAGGTGGCCTCCTTTGGTTTCTGAGCAATAACCCTGTTGTCCAGGTGGAATAACAACCATCTTTTTATATACAGGAAGTCCTCACTTCATTTTGTAATTCCCTGAAAATTGACTTTCTGGAAACAATGTACAGCAGGTCCTCCAATACCATTGGTTTGTTCAAAGTTGTCTAGTTCTAATGTTGATGAGGAATACATTGGCTTCACTCTACATAATTTTGCTTAAACGTGCAGTTTTCAAGAGACTATCAAAAATGTTAAGTAAGGAATACCGTATACATCAAATTCACATCCTTTCCCACAGTTCATGTGGAATTCCTTTATAAACTGCTTCTAGGGAATCTATTTAGGCAGGTTATGTGTAGAGATCCATGTCACCGCTCCTCAATCTTGGCTTTGACTGAAATCACCTGGGTAGCTTACAAACGAGGAGGCCTGAGTCTCATTATTTAAGATTCTGATTTGCTTGCACCTGTGTGGGTATGCAGATTTTTTTTTTTTTTTTTTTTTTTAAGCAAAAGAGATGGTTCCAATGATGAAGTTCCTGGGGGGATCAAGCTCTGATGAGTAAGAATAAAACTTAATTGTAATATAATTTCTTCAAATGTTATCTTCAAATGCATTGTACTTCAACACTATAAAAAATTTTTATTATGCTGTTTTTTCTTACCACTTAGCATTTTCATTTTACATTTGTTGAAGTTACAGATTTATACACACATTGATTGCTGCTTTATTTCACACTTGTACATATATAAAATGGGAAATAGAAAAGAATAAAATGGTCACAGTATCCCTAAAGTTTCTCATTTCGAAACATTTTTAAAATGTTTGTCTTTAATAAGTTTGTTTCAATTAAGAAACTATGGTATACACACACAATAAAGTATTATTCAAACTAAAAGGAATAAAATCCTCTCCACTGCCGCAAAAATGGATGAGATTGCAGGTCAGTATATTAAACGAAATAAGCCAGGAGCAGAATGACAAATGTTACATGTCCTCACTTATATGTAGGAACAAAAAAGAAAACCTTGACCAGGTGTGGTGGCTCATGCCTGTAATCCCAGCACTTTGGGAAGTCAAGTCAGATGGATCACTTGAGGCCACAAGTTTGAGACCAGCCTGGCAAACATGGTGAAACCACATCTCTACTAAAAATACAAAAATTACCCGGGCATGGTTGTGCATGCCTGTAGTCCCAGCTACTTGGGAGGCTGAGGCTGGAGAATTGCTTGAATCTAAAAGGCAGAGGTTGCAGTGAGCCAAGATCTTGCCTCTATACTCCAACCCGGGCAACAGAACGAGACTCCAACAACCACACACACACAAAAGGAGTCTCATGAAGGTGGAGATTATAAAGGTGGTTAGCAGAGGCTAGAAAGAAAAAGGGTGGGATAGGGAATGAAGAGAAGTTGATAATTGGGTACAAAACACAGAAAGATGGAACAAATGAGTTCTAGTGTTTGATAGTACAGTATGGAAATTTTAATTCACAAAAACCTCTTGCGTATTTCCAGATGGCTTGGAAAGAAGCTTCCTAACTTTCTCATTATGATGGTTTTTAAGTTATTCTCTTTCTCCTCCAATTACAACCTTCTATACTCTTCTTTTTTAGGCTAGATTGGAGCTCTTGAAATCATCCTGTATTTTTATTTATTTATTTATTTATTGAGAAGGAGTTTCATTCTTGTTGCCTAGGTTGGAGTGCAATGGCATGATCTCGGCTCACCACAAACTCCGCCTCCTGGGTTCAAGCAATGCTCCTGCCTCAGCCTCCCTAGTAGCTGAGATTACACACCACCACGCCCACCTAACTTTTATTTTTAGTAGAGATGGGGTTTCTCCCTGTTGGTCAGGCTGGTCTTGAACTCCCAACCTCAGGTGACCCGCCCACCTCGGCCTCCCAAAATGTTAGGATTACAGGCGTGAGCACCCACACCCAACCCATGCTACATCTTTACCTGTTGTCTGTTGTTGTTTGTTTGTTCTTGATCCCAGAAATTACTTCTCACATATATGTTCAAATGGTTTTTAACATGAGTGCCAAGAAAGTTCATTGGTGGAAAAGCAGCCTTTTCAACAAATGGTGTTGGAGAAACTTGATTTCCACATGCAGAGAAATGAAGATGGACCATATGTCACACCAGATGCAAAAACTAACACAAACCGGATAAAAGACCTAACCCCAAGAGCTAAAACTATAATATGCCTAAAAGAAAATGCTGGCAAAACCTTTATGACATCAGAGTGGGCAATGCTTTCTGGGATATGACACCAAAAGCATAGGCAATAAAAGAAAATTAGATTCCTTGGATTACAGCTAAATGAGAAACACTTTTGTGCATCAAAAAACGCTATGAGCTGAGTGAAAAAATAACCCATGGATTAGGAAAAATATTTGCAAATCATATATTTGAAAAGAGGCTGATATCCGTAATATGCAAAGAACTGCTAGAACTAAACAACAAGAAACCCAAGGCATCCCATTAACAATGATCAGAAGACTTGAGTAGACATCTCCCTAGGAAAGATATACCAATGGCAAATAACCATATAAAATGATATTCAAAATCACTAATCATAGGGAAGTGCAAATCAAATCAAAAATGTGATAGCACACATTAGGATAAATATGATAAACAAGCAATGGTGAAAATTAGAGGGAAGTAGGAATGCTCCAACATGATCAGAGGGAATGTAAAACTGCAGGAACAGGGAAAATAGTATGGAGTGTACTTGAAAAATTAGAAACAGAATTATCAGATGATCCTGCAGTTGCATTTGTGGGTACCTACCAAAAAGAATTAGAAGCCAGGAGTGGAAGAGATATTTGTACACTCATATTCATAGCAGCGTTATTCACAGTAGCCAAAATGTGAAAGCAACCCAATGGTCCATGGACAGATGAATGAAAAAGCACACTGCAGCTCATTCATACAATGGAATTCAGCCTTAAAAAGGCAGGCACTTCTGGCCAGTGCGATGGCTCACGCCTGTAATCCCAGCATCTTGGGAGGCCAAGGTGGGCGGATCACCTGAGGTCAGGAGTATGAAACCAGCCTGGCCAAAACGGCGAAAGCTCATCTCTACTAAAAATGATAGAATTAGTTGGGCATGGTGGCACACACTTCTAATCCCAGCTACTCAGTAGACTGAGACACAAGAATTGTTTGAACCCAGGATGTGGAAGTTGCAGTGAGCCGAGATCGTGCCACTATACTCCAACCTGGGCTTTGTCTCAAAAAAAAAAAAAAAAATTAAACATGGTATGATTCCACTTACATCAAGACTCTAGAGTAGTTAAACTCACAGAATTGCAAAATAGAATGGTGGCCCCCAGGGGTGGGTGAGAGAGAGGAATAGAGAGTTTATAATATGGGTACAATTTCCATTTTGAAAGATAAAAATGTTCTAGAGATGAGGGAGGTGATGGTTGCTAAACAATGTGAATGTACTTAATGTCATTAAACTGTAAACTTAAAAATAGTGGAAATTGTAAATGTTTATACTGGCCATTCTACATGAAATAATATATATTTATAATTTTTAATATTTCAATGTGGTATGTTTTACCATAATAAAATATGAAAATTAAAGCAATTGAATCTTTAAAAAGAAAAGAAAGAAGCGAATAATACACACAGGATTTCTGCTGATTAGAGGAAGAGCCCAAAAATGGACACTCATTTTTCTCACCTTCTTGCTGCATTATTATGAGGAAATCGTTAGAGATGGGCGAACTTCGGTGAATTTGGCTAATGAAGAGCTCTGTGCCTTGAGCCCCCGAGGCCATGGAATAATAAATACTCAGTCTGTACCTCCAGCCCTGCAGTGTGAGGTTCCAGTCAGGTGGACTCCACACCTGTCACCTGCATCAGGAGGCTCATGTCTGACCTTGTCTTCTTGCCCGGCTTGAGGATGGAGTCTGAGCCTCCATCGTGCACCAAGCAGGGAAGACAGTGGACCGGTTCTCCGTGGTCGTGGCCCGGCAGAGGGGAAGCGCAGTTCAGTGAGTGCTGAGGGACGCTGGGGAGCCTTGTTTTGTTTCCTCGTCCTCAGGACAAACAGGGGAGTGCGGTGGGCAGATGGGAAGAGACCAGTGTGCAAACTGTCAGCTCAGCGGACTGTGGGGTTTCTGTTTTTGGTTGTGGTGGGGGTCTCAGAAATCTTATTCAAAATTTTGCTTTCCTCCCACACTGGTTGTCCCTTTCATGGACATCTCACCCATGATAGCAGCAAATGAGTCCCTCTAAACTATTCCCTAAGCACAACATAAAGATTATGAAGGTGATGATGAGGATAAAGAGGATGATGACAGACACCATGGCATCATGAACCCTTACTGAAGGCTTCCTAAATGCCAGGCTCTGAGCTCTGTGGTCTATGCAGCTTCTTTCATTTCATCTTTGTAGTCTTCTCCCAGTTATTAGTGCACATTTCATTATTATTTTACAGACTAGAAAAGAAGCAATGCATTTTCATATAACTTGTACCAGTTCATGAAGTCGAAAAGGGTGAAGTCCTATTTGAACCAGGCAGTCTAAGTCCAGACACCTAAGCTAAGGACAGGAGTTATGTCTTACATGAATTTTAAAACAAGCCCCACCTCTTTGAGTAAGCAATTACTCCCTTGAGGGAGAAAAGTCAGAAAACATAATGTTGAAATCACTAGAACATAACTGGCATATGGAAATATTTTCTGATTATGAATTGTCAACTTTAATTTCATTTCCAGATGGCATGGTCTTAGCTGTTATACAGTGTTTATAAATGTTCTAAATCAAGGGAATTTGTGGCAATCTATTAGAATAAAATAAAATATTTGAGTTCTTAATTTCCTTTAATTAGGATAAACTTTTTCTTAAAGTGAAGAGAATGTTTTTATTACATATTTTTCTTCTGAAAAGATAGGCTGTATTTTCTAGCAATTACGAATTTGTTGTATATGATGATCTGGTTCTCGGAACATTCTTGAATCTAGTGTTTCTAAGGCAGGTGTGTACAGCAAGAAGTGAATAACACAAAAATCAATCATGAACGCATTATAAGGCAATTGAGTTTGTCACAACTGCAAAATATTGCTGAGTGTGGATTGCTCTGAAATCTGAAAACATTACTTGTGAATTGCTTATATCCAAAATGCAGACACAGTGCTGGGTGTTGGTTTACTTGTTTCTGATTTTTCAACTCTTTTCTACGCAAAAGGTGTCCAAACTATACAGACCCACAGAATCTAACAGATGTCTCAGTAGTCCTCCTCCTAGAACTCTCAGAGGATCCAGAACTGCATCCAGTCCTCGCTGGGCTGTTCCTGTCCATGTGCCTCATCACGGTGCTGGGGAACCTACTCATCATCCTGGCTGTCAGCCCTGACTCCCACCTCTACACCCCCATGTACTTCTTCCTCTCCAACCTGTCCTTGCCTGACATCAGTTTCACCTCCACCACAGTCCCCAAGATGTTTGTGAACATCCAACCTCACAGCAGAGTCATCTCCTATGCCGGCTCCCTGACCCAGATGTCTCTTTTTGCCATTTTTGGAGGCATGGAAGAAAGACATGCTCCTGAGTGTGATGGCTGTAAGACTGGTTTGTAGCCATCTGTCACCCTCTATATTATTCAGTCATCATGAACCGGTGTTTCTGTGGCTTCCTAGTTCTGTTGCTTTTTTTTCTCAGTCTTTTAGACTCCCAGCTGTACAATTTGGTTGCCTTACAAATTACCTGCTTCAAGGATGTGGAAATTCCTGATTTCTTCTGTGACCCTTCTCAGTTCCCCCACCTTGCATGTTGTGATACGTTCACTAATAACATAGTCATGTATTTCCCTGCTGCTGTATTTGGTTTTCTTCCCACCTTGGGGATCCTTTTATCTTACTATAAAATTGTTTCCTCAATTCTGAGGGTTTCATCATCAGGTGGGAACTATAAAGCCTTCTCCACCTGTGGGTCTCACCTGTCAGTTGTGTGCTTATTTTATGGAACAGGCATTGGAGGGTACCTCAATTCAGATGTGTCATCTTCCCCCAGAAAGGGTGCAGTGGCCTCAGTGATATACACGGTGGTCACCCCCATGCTAAACCCCTTCTACAGCCTGAGAAACAGGGATATTAAAAGTGTCCTGCGGTGGCCGCAAGGCAGAACAGTCTAATCTCAGTATCTTGTTATCTGTTCCATTCCTTTTGTAATGTGGGTTAAAAAAGGCAGCAAGGTGAAATATGAATAATATCACAGGGTTAACACACACTGTGATATTAAGAGTAATATCTCCTCCCTAGGATATAAAAAAAATACTATCACAGAGTGTACACACATGGGGTACACACACTGTGGTATTAGGAATTGTATCTCCCTAGGATATTATGAATAATATCACACCAGGTATGTACACTCACTGTGATATTTGAAACAATATCTCCCTAGGAGATTACAAATAATAACAAAGAGTGTACATCCCATGACATTAGGAGTAACATCCTTCTAGTATATTATGAATAACATCACAAGGCGTACACCTTCTGTGACATTTTGTACACCCTTTGTGACATTAAAAGAAACATCCCCCTAGGATATTACGAATAATGTCACAGGCAGTGTACACACATGGTACACATGGCTTTCTTGAACACACGGTGTGCACCTCCTGTGACATTAGGAATACATCCCCCATGATATTATGAATCATATCACAAGGCGTACACACATTGTGACATTAGTAGTAATATCCTGCTAGTATATTGTGAATAATATCACAGGATGTACACACCTGTGACATTAGGAGTAACTTCCCACTAGAATATTATCAATAATATCACAGGGCGTATACTATCTATGACATTAAAAGTAACATCCTTTTAAGATATTACAAATAATATCACAGGGTGTACATTTCCTGTGTCATTAGGAGTAACATCCCCCTAGGATATTATGAATAATATCACAGGCTATACCTCCCCTGTGACATTAGGAGTAACATCTCCCTAGGATTTTACAGGGTGTTCTCCCTGTGTGACATTGTGCATAAAATCTCCCTAGGATATTAAGAATAATATCACAGTGTGTACATACCCTGTAAAATTAGGAGTAACATCTCTTTAGGATATCATGAATAATATCACAGAGTGTGCACCCATTTTGACATTAGGAATAACATTTCCCTAGAATATTACGAATAATATCACCCACTGGGTGTACACCCCCAGTGACATTAGGATTAATACCCCCCTAGGATATTACGAATGATATCACAGGTGTACACCACTTGTGACGTTAGAAATAACATCCTCCTAAAATATTATGAATAATATCACAGGGTGTACACCCCCTGTGATAGTAGGAGTAACATACCCCTAGGATATTATCAATAAAATTTCAGCGTGACCACCCCCTGTGACACTGGGAGTAATATTCCCTAGGGTATTATAAATAATATCACAGGATGTATACCACCTGTGACATTAGTTGTAAAACATTCCCCTAGGATATGATGAATAATATCACAGGGTGTACACTTACTGTGACATTAGGAGTAATATCTCTCTAGAATATTTCTTCTAATATCATAGGGTATACACCCACAGTGATATTAACAGTAATATCTTCCTAGTATGTTACAAATTCTGCTGGCACCTGACCACTTCCCCCATGGACTGAGGTCAGGTTAACCCAACCAGCTGACACCACCGCAGCCAACACCCAACTGTACGTACCCAAGGTGGAACACATTTGCTGTTCTCCGTGGGTCCAGTTGCTTTCTTGGTAAATCCTAGTGTGATCTCCTGGACAACCTAGTTAAAGAGCTAGTATTTACTTACCATTTTGTTTCCTCTCAGTGAAAGCGGTGCACACGCTAGCTGCTTCTGTCAGCCATCTTGAACAAGAACCCCCTGAAAGAAGCTTTCTTGAACACTGCTTCTTCTAAAAGTGCTTATCAGGAATTCGAGCAGACATTCACCACCAAAACATAATAAAATAATCATCACTAGTACTTCTCAACTAACCCCCTAGTAAATCTAATTGCTGTCACATAATGTCCTTCCTTTGTTCTCTATTATTTTATATTCACCTCCCTCACTCCCTCTGCATTTAAATAAACTAAAAGTATAAGACTGGAATGGGCCTCACAGCCATTTTAATTACATGTAATTATTTGTAAAACATATAAACCGAGGTCAAATCACTATAACAACTTTCCTAACATGATCTCTATATGATCTAGCAACTGCATATGATCTAACTTTACCCCATACATGGTAGGACCTCAGAGAAGGAGCATAAAAGCCAGAGGGCTTGTGGAGATATTTCCTGTTAAATATACATGACAGAAGTAAAAATAAGCTTTCTCTACAGCCTCTCCTTATCCTGCTTTATGACCTGCAGGAATCTGGAATCTCTATCTTCCTACAGAAAGGAAAAAGGATTTCTTAGCAGTCTTTTGGGCAATAAATCTTGAAATTCTGAGACAAAGACAAAAGGATCAAGTCATTGCCAGGCTTACCGCAAGGCAAAGGAGGGAAAAAGGAAGAATCATTCGCTAACCTGTGGTCTTTGCTCAGTCCTTGGACTCCTCAGGCAGCCTGCTCACCACATTCTCATTTAACTGGAGGTTATCTGTAAATAATACTTGTTGGTGCAGAAGAGAAATTAGGCATCGATTGCTTAAGCATGTTTCACTACTGCTTAAAAGTATGCCTAAGACAACTGGTGCCAGGTCTAAGGGGTTTCGAAAGGGCCTTTTAAGATCCTCTAGGGTTTTTGATTCCAAAGAATGACTTTGCAGTACAGAAATCAATATAAGATCTGAAAACCTGAAAATTGATTGATCTGTCCTCAGCTCCAAGGACCAATTAGATATTTGCCTGGAAATAAAGATACCATTTCTACTCATATCCTCAGAACCCTATTAATTAGAGACATAATCCTCATAAAACTGCAGCCTGGATCATTGAACCCTTGTCTATGGTTTTAATGTCCCCTCCAAAACTCATATGGAAACTTAATCCTCTATGAGGCAGTATTGAGAGGTGGGGGCCATTAGGACATGATTGGATTATGAAAGCTCTGCCCTCATGGATGAATTAATCTACTGATGGATTAATGAAATGGTTAATGGATTAATGGGTTGTCATGGGAATAGTACTAATGGCTTTATAAGGAGAGGAACAAGTACACACAAACCCTTCTCCATGTGCTACCCTGTGCCACCTCAGGATTTTGCAGGGAGACCCCACCAGCAATAAGGCCCTCACAAGATGTGGCCCCTCAACCTTGCACTTCTCAACCTCCATAACTATAAGAAATAAATTCTTTTCTTTATCAATTACCCAGTTTTAAGGATTGTGTGAAAACTAACAGATAGCGGACTGAGACACCTCCCCACATCATGGACTTTGTCTTCACCAGTATTCTACCTCCTGAAAGAAACTGCAAAACACCCATTCATCAGGTGTCACTGGCCTGGCAACCTCCCTTAAACCAGACAAAGTTGAGAAAAAAAGACCAAAAAAACCCATATGTGAATAATTATAATGGTGTCACAGTAATGCATTACTGCCATCATGACCATTATGAAGTTCTCACTCAAGGTCTACAGGCTCTTCATGCACACACAGTTCTATCATGTTTGCTTGTTCTGTTTGATTTCCCTAAGCACAAGTCAGTTGAAGCCGTTGTTGCAAAAGACCATGAAGTTCCTGACCAAAAGACCATAAGAGCACACTCAGTATCTGCTCTGTGCCTAAACATAATTCTGACAAGCTTTGCTTCTGTTCTTTTTAGTACAAATTAGTTGAGCAGATGTCCAAAAAGTCCCCTTTCTATAGTTCTTGACCAGTATTTACAGGTCCATACTCCATGACTGTAAGTTCTTTGTTCCCACATTATTCTACTAAGCTTGATTTTTGTTTTTGTTGGTGTTTTGTTGTTTGTTTTGCTGTGTATCAAATGAAAATGGCAGTAGATAAATTACTGCTACATTACTTTTTTTTAAATTTTTTATTATTATTATACTTTAAGTTCTAGGGTACATGTGCATAACGTGCAGGTTTGTTACATATGTATACTTGTCTGTGCCATGTGCTGTGCTGCACCATCAACCGTCAGCACCATCAACGTCTTGTCATTTACCATGCAGGTATCAACTCCCAATGCAATCCCCTCCCCCCCTAACCCTCCCCATGATAGAGCCCCGGTGTGGATGTTCCCCTCTCCCAAGTCCAAACGCTGATCTCCACTGTTCCAGCTTCCCCACCTATGAGTGAGAACATTGCGGTGTTGGTTTCTGTCTTGTGATAGTCCTAAAAATGATGGTTTCCCAGCTCGCATCCATGCCCATACAAAGGAAAAAAAAAACACAAACTCATCCTTTTTTATGCGGCAATAGTATTCCCACTCGGTGATATGTTTCCTCATTCTTCCTTATCCAGTCTGCTCACTGAATGGACCATTTGGGATGATCCAAGTCTTTGCTCATTGTAATAGTTGGCCAATAAACGTACGTGTGCATGTGCTTATATGCAGCATGATTTTAAAATCCTTCTGGTATGATACCAGTTAGGAAATGGCTGGGTCAATATGGACGATCTCAGTTCTAGATCCTTGAGGATCCGCCAATACATGTGTTTTGCCCATAAATGGTGAACAGTTTACAATCCCACCAAACACGTGTAAAAGTGTTCCTACTTTCTCCACATCCTCTCCAACACCCTTTTGTCCCGACTTTTTATGCATCCAGCCATTCTACACTGGTGTGAGAATGGTATCCATTGTGGTTTTGATTTTCATTTCTCGATGGCCAGTGGATGATGAGCATTTTTCATGTGTCTGTTGGCTGTAGAATGTCTTCTTTTGAGAACATGTGCCTGTTCATATCCTTTGCCCACTTTTTTGATGGGGGGTTGTTTGTTTTTCCTTGTAAAATTGTTGGACAGTGCTTTGTAGGTCGGATATTAGCCTTTTCAGATGAGTAGATTCTAAAGTTTTTCCCAATTCTGTAGGTTGCCTGTTCACGTCTGATGTAGGTTCTTTGCTGTGCAGCTCTTTAGTTTAATGAGAATCCCATTTGTCAATTTTGGCTTTTGCTGCCGTTCCTTGGCTGTTTTAAGACATGAAGTCGTTGCCCATGCCTATGTCCTAAATGGTACTACCTAGGCTTTTTGTCCTCTAGGTTTTTTATGTATTAGGGCTAACCATTTAGGTCTCTAATCCATCTTGAA